TTAGTTACTGAGACTAATAACTCCTCAGGGCTGTCCCAGCATTAGCTCTGTGCTTACAACTGTGGTAAACAGCTCCCACTTCTTTTTTAGCCCTTAAGTATTTTCCTTGCGATTTTGTGAGCCCAGATATGCATTTTAAAAAGATGTTTTTAACATTTCATCCAGCATTTCTAGGTACTTTGTAGCAGAAGAGCTTTTAAGTTAAACAGTCCTCTCTCCATATTGCCAGAAATGTTAGTTCCTATTGCTTTATAATTAAATCTAAAAGCATTATAAGATATCTAGGTTTTCAAACAATATCTATCTATAATTAATTTAATTGGATAAAATACATTTTTTAATCCAACAGAAATTGGAAAATTAGTTCATTCTTTTTCATCAGTTACTGAAGTCAAAATCTGAAATATATTTTTTAGCTTGAATAAATCCAAGATACGTTGTGGAGAACAACACATGATTACAGGAAACCTCTTCTCCAAAGTTGCCAAAGTATGTTACAAACATACTAATTAATCCTCTTGGGCTTTTTTTTTTTAATATAACAGTGCAACATTAATTAATCCTCGTTATATGCCTCTAAATCAGGTTTGTGGCAAGTTTTATCCCCCACTTACAAGCAAAAAAGCTTACCTGTGAATAATGACTATGATCATGCTATAAGACAATGATAAAGCACAGAGTCAAGACTTCTGATTTCTTGTACAATTAGAAAAAACTTGATTATTATCTAGAAAAATTCAAATCTATTTTCTATTAAAACATAAGTATACTAGTTATTGTTTGTACATGTATAGATACTGTTTCAAAACCTAGATTTGTTTTATTCTTAAAATGTTTTAGAACAAATACATAAAAGAAATGACAAATGTGAACTCCAGCCTCTTTTAAAATTCTCCTACTCCATCTTTCCTTTTTCCTATTTCCCTTCCTAAATCAAAGATCTGAGGGATCTGAGATTTCATATCTTTTTTATTCTATGTATATTTGTCAAGATTTTCAGGGCCGGCCCCGTGGCTTCGTGGTTAAGTGCGCTCGCTCCGCTGCTGGCAGCCCGGGTTCGGATCCCGGGTGTGCACTGAGGCACCGCTTCTCCAGCCATGCTGAGGCCGAGTCCCACATACAGCAACTAGAAGGATGTGCAGCTATGACATATAACTATCTACTGGGGCTTTGGGGGAAAAAAAATAAATAAATAAAATCTTTAAAAAAAAAAAAAAAAAGATTTTCAAATACACAATTATTCAAAGAAAAACACATCCTAAACAAACTTAATATTAATTTTAGTTTACAATTCAGAAAACCATAAATCCCTCCCCCTTTTAAAATGCAATTATCAACTAAATCAGCTACTAAGGAAATAAGTATATACAAATGACAAATATTTTTAAAGGAACTTAATATTAACGAAATACCCAGGTAGAAAAATATGGTTAACATTAAGTACTTTACCCAAAGCACTATTACTTCTAGAAAAGATCCAAGTAAATATGTCATCTTCTAAACATACTCAACAGAAAATCTCAAAGGCTTTTTTCTACTCCCAATAGTTGCTAGCTCTACCTCACTAAGAGAAGTTACATTAAATAAATGCATCAGCTACAGATCTCTGTATGCTTTTCCTCTGAGACCTTAATCCACCTGCAATATACCATTATTTTAAGTGGGAAAAACAGTTTTTTCTTTTGGGATTTTTTTCTTTTGCTATGTATTTTTACTAACAGTTAAAGGACAAAATCATAAATATTTATTTGCCATTAGCTTTATTTTAAATTTCATTTCTTTATTTCACATAATTTTTATTGTTATATGAGGATTTAAAGTTAATAGTAAAACCCATTTCCCACATACTAGGATTAAATATTTTCATTTTAAAATAAAAAATAAAACAAATATAACAATTAACATTCCTATCTTTATATTACAGGATTGAAACAGAAAATCTGCAGCTGTTGGTCTCACTATCAATTGCTATGCGGATTTAATCATACTCCTCTAAATTAAAATCCTACTGTCAGAAAGACACTTACTAGCCAGTTTGTTGAGCAGCACAAGATTAAATTGATAGGGTCTGAAAGAAATTAACTTCAGCAAAAAAAAAAGGCAACAAAAAACTTCAATAAACTTTGGTTCACTTCCTTGTATCTTTCTGCTAAGTTTTCACAATTTTTTTTTAATTTAAAATACTTTTTACGATATTACAAATAGTAGGTCCTCTTATCTAGCACTTTTCAACCTTTTTACCACTGGGACAATCTTAAGGAAAGGTGTTCCCCATATGACACTCCCATTGAGTATGCCCAGAGTTTTTTATGACTGATATGTTGCTACCAGGACTGTAAACATTGAGTGCTTGATAGCTATAACCACCCCCCTTTGTTTCTCCTGTTGACTCAAGACATACCAGTGTTGCAATACTGTGCCCCAATCTCTACTTTTACAAGTGAGGCACCTGAGGCCTGACAGGTTGAACAACATACTCAAGAGCACCACACGGTGAAGTCACCAGGGACAGAGCATACACTCTATCCCAGATGCTTTGTTCCCAATCTCCAATTCCTTCAATTATATCATGCTGCCCTCTAAATTCACAACTGTGGAACAAGTGAGTTCACTTGGCCAAGATATATGAGTTATCCTACATTAGTGAATTTTCCAGATCCCTGAAGCTTAACTCTTTAAATACCAAAACTTTATAAAGTTATCAGTCCCTTTTAGTAGAAATGTTCCAAAGTGAAAAGGCACAAATCCAGATTTCTTGGATGTTCTAGTGAAATGGCTGTGACACTCTTTTAATTCTTTGCTCAACGACCAGGTCACATGCCTCCTGAATATTTTCCTGTTTTGCTACCGGTCTTCCTTGTGTTGATTTTGGATCCCTCAGTGAACTCTGCCATCTTACCGTACTCATTCAATTCCTACTTTACTGCCAGGAGAATGTGAAAATAGCAACACGGTGGAGTTGGCGGTAGAAGCAGATGGATTTAAAATGGCAGAGAAAAAGTGAATTATTTCCCAAACTTCTTAACCACCATTTCTACCAGCTATGGTACTACCTCAGAGCCAACTTATCTGCATGGGCCTTTGGCCTGCACATTAAGAGGCCCAGGTTGCTACACTTTTTGAGCTTCTGCTGTCATTTCTTGCTATTGTCCATGTGTTGTCACCAAGTAACTCCCCTATCTCTGATATCCTATTCAACTACAAATGGAAACCAATTTATTTAGGCTTACAAAATATATGTCGAAAAGATATTAAAGAAATTCCAAATGAAGACTTGAGGAATTCTCCTCTTACAGGACATATCAGCGTGAATTTTCATTTAGCTATTCAGGCTCTTCTTTTGTTTGCTTCTGAGTTCTAATAGTTCTGGTTTCTGGGTCAGTGACCTCTGCAAAAGTCAGTAAAACTTCTGAGGTGTTGTTTTTGTCTTTAAGTCTATTCCATGTGATTTCATGTAAAAATTCCTCAAAATAAAGTGCTTGCAATCAGCGTAGAGACCTAAACTGAGCCGAAGCAGACCTTCAACACTCTAAACCAGTGCTTCTCAAACTTGAATGTGCACACAAATCATCTGGAAATCTTGTGACAACGAAGAGTCTGGTTCAGTAGGTCTGAGCTTGGGCCCAAGATTCTGCATTTCTAATCAGCTGACAGGTGACGCCAAGTCTGCTGGCCCCAAATACTACACTTCGAGAGCAAAGCTCTAGAACACATATCTCTTTTTTCTCTCTCTCCTATTTCTAAATCCGCATTCTCTTGCTTTTTCCTTTCCTTGTTTTATCCTTTTTCTTGCTTTAAGTCTGCCAAGAATAACCACAGTGACTGTTTAGCCCTGTAGATAGCCCTTGGAACTATAAAGGTTTTCCAATCTATAACAAGCTATAAAAACCACAATGCAGAAGGGTCAAAACACTACAATAGTCATAAACTTTCTCTAACTGTGACCAAAAAGAACATAATCAATATAGATGACACAATTTTTAGGATGTGTGGTTATTTTGGTATAATTTTTAGCAATTAAATATTTTCCTTAGGATATGGTTTTAAAAAAATCATGTTAACTTTCTTAATAGGAAGAAAGAACCTGTTATTCATCTTAAGATTCAGTAACATTCAATAACTGAGCTGCTAATTATGAACAGAATGATGGTACTTGTACTAATCTTTATAACCTGTTAATATTGGTTTTTTTAGTCTACTTTAAAATTACAAGAAATTCTGCTACCAAGTATACCTAATCGTCAAGAGATCAGGTTTCTAATGAATTAATATTGGAACTGTGTATGCCTTATAATCTTATATAAATTTCACTTAGAGTTGCATTATCTCAGATTCTATCTCATAGAATCGTAGACTCATAACTCTCATAGGAATTGCTAGATTTAGAGTGAGCCCTTTAATACAACAAATGCCAGCATTCACGTGGTAACAGAAATGTTGTTCTTACCAAAAGACTCCATGCACCTAATCAACAGGCAGTGGTCTCATTTTACAGTGGGGAAACCTGGAGCACAGCCAGGTTATGTGACCACGTGAGCACAATGCAAACAGAATACGAAACTCCTCACTGTAAAACCTTTCTTATAATCACCATACATCACAGCTCAAACGTCGTTAAACTTCCTTTGAGGTATGGAAACCAATTCTTTAAATCAAAATTGTCAAATAGCTGGCTTCTCAGTAACATTTAGAAAAATGGTTTCTGTATAACGTTAGTCTCCAGCCAAACAGAACAACACTGTAAGTGGAATCCAGTTCTGTGGTGCACTTTTCTCCCAGGGAAACGCAAGCAGACAATTCCACTCCATCAAACCAGACAACAGCGCATTCTAGCGGCCAAAGGAGAGTATAATCAGAGAGGTCTGAGACTCTGGACTAAAACTTAAAACTAAAATCTAGAAGCTAATAAGAAAATATTACAAATATTATATGAATTGCTGTCGACAAAGAAAATTTGCATTTAAGATTAAAATGAAGATATGAGAAAGGAAAAATATTACCCAAAAGCTCCAGTCACCACTCCAGTTATGTAAATTTGGCCCCTGTTTTTTAGCTGACACTACGTTATTCTCATCCACAACGGGACTAGGATTTTCCTCTAACTCTTCCTTTGACTCGGTGGCAAAGCTTGAGTCCCCTTCATTTATTACCTGGAAACAAGTATCAAACAACATAAATCAATTATTGAGAAATGCCCATTTCAAAAAGAAAAGAGTTAATGTTCAAAATACATAAATTAACTTGAAAAGGACAATATTTAAGCTTTTAGAAAACAGCAATTAGTATGTTTTTGCTTCCATAGTTCATACGTTTACACATGCAACAAATATTTTCCAAGTACTACTATTTCTTAGATAGTTTAGTCGGCACTAGAGATTCAAAAATGAATAAAACAAAGTCTTTAGCCTTCAGAAGTTCACAGTCAGCTAGAGGAACAGTTAAACTGTAAAAAATACAATGTAATGGGAGTGACAACCTCTTTGGAGAATAATTAGTAACGCCTAGTAGGGTCTAAGATGGGTATGTACTACAACTCAGCAATTTAATGTGCAAGTGGAGTCAACAATGTTTGTAATACTAAGAAAGTTGAAACAACCTTACTGTCCATTGGTGGGGAAATTGGTAAATTAATTCTGATTTATACAAACAATGGAGCTAAAATAAATCAGATGTCTCAACCAGGCATCGGCCCACGATCCATAGAGCCCTGAGGGGAAAGATTATACCCTGTGCAAGATACAGAAGAGCAGTCACTATGGAGTTAAAAAAAGAAGAGAGAAAAGGAGGGTGTGTGGGGAGGAGGAGCAGCTATTATCAGAGCACACAGCTCACCAGGACCCTAAATACCTCTGCTGCTGCTGCCACCTGTGCCTCTGTTGTAACAAAAATCCTGATCCTCAGGGTTACAGGGAAAAGCACCCATGGCACCCGTGTGGCACAGCAAAGGGGATAGTCTAACTCAACCTTGGCTTGGGGTTTTTAAACTCTATAAAGTAACCATTGCCATGAGGGAAGCCCCTAACCCTGGTGAAACTGATTTAAGGGTCTCTAGAGGAAGAAATTTAAAAATGCGAAAGGGGAGAGAGGACCCCATCCACCCAAAGTATTTTCACTAACCACCAAAAAGAGAGAGAAAAAACGAAACAAAGCTGAATACAGAGGAAAGAAACAAATAAAAAACAAACAAACAAAAACTGAAACAGAAGTCCACAATTTAACCCAGTTGGAAATCCAAAATTTATTAAAATAATTTACACAAGAAAAGATAAAAGATTGGCTTTTGCACCTCTACAGCATAGGTTCTGAACGAACTTCAACATCTGCTGAAACGCATCAAGTGGCAAATCTTCAAGGCTGTAATTAGTACTGGGCTCAAACTACAGTTATACCTGGAGATGCCACTGAATTTAAGCAAGGTACCCCCTATAATCTCGGGGGAATTACTCAACATAAAATAGACGAAAAACAGGTATGCCTCACCTTAACCACCAGAGCCGCTACCTTGCCTAAACGCTCCCTGGTCATAGTACACATCGCCCTAAAATATCCCGTAGTGGCGACGGATGCTCTGACCCAATGAGTAAGAAATTTAAACCAAGTCTTTGGAGCCTACAAATGAGCTTTTAAAAAAGTCGGGCCCCGAGGACCACCCCACAACCCCTAGTTAAAATAGTTAATACAGCTCAATGTAAAATAAAACAGGGCCTTTAAAGACTGAGATTTATTATATAAGACCTAATTAGTGAAAGAGCAATTATTCCACTGCCTCTCTATTTAACGGCCCAATGTGGCCTGTTCAAGTTGGACAAATGAATGGTGCCTCACAGTTGACTCCTGTACCCTTGATGCTGCAGGCCTACCCATGAAGGCCCCTCTACCCAATATTACTGAAATTACTGACTCTACCCAATCAGAAACTGGTAAATATTTTGATTTTATAAATTGGGCTAATATGTTCTGTTCAGTCCCTCTTTCAACAACCTCTCAGGCAGTTTGCCTTCACCTCCAGAGGGACATGATGTTCCTTTTCCCGGCTACCCACAGGATACCTCTTAACTGTATCCAGTTTTCTCCAGGAGCACAGGTATGACATTACATTGATTACATCCTCCTCTGAAGACATTCTTTTGACACGCCCATTCAGGACATACAAATACTCACAGAGGAGCTCATGAAAAGAGGATGGGCCATTGCCCCACACATATTGTAAGGCCTGCCACCTTGGTTACATGCCTGAAAATTATTTGGTAAACCAAGGGCCACTCCATCCCTGACAATGTCAAGAAACAGCTATTGTTCCTCTCAGCAACCACCACGTTAAAACAAGCCCAACATCTTTTAGGTCTGTTTGGGTTCTGGAGGCAATATATTCCTCATTTACACATTTTACTTGAGCCCATTTATGTTATTACTCGCAAATCAGACTGCCCTGAATGGGGCCCTCTCCCAAAACAGATTCTAAAATGTGTCAAAATTATAATGTAACAGACACTGCCATTAGTGCTACCTCCCCCCACCAAAACACACACACACACACACACAAAGAATCCTTCACTGTAGAGACTTTAGCAGCCTCTTTTCAGGACTCCTGGAGCCTCCGGACCACCCATAATGTCCATAAGTTGTCCACAAGCTTCTGATGCAAAAAAACTCTCTCTTCTGCCCCACACTATATGCCATTAGAGAAGCAGTTACTGACCGCATACAGGACTCTGCTAGAAATAGAGGCTCTCACAAGCCCTGAGCCTGTGACCCTCCATACCCAGATGGCCATTACACCTTGGGTCCTGGAAGGAACACCTTGCAAGCTCAGCACAGCCACCAAGGTCTCCTTGCTACAGGATAGAACCAAATTGGGGCCCTCTGGCATATCCCACCTGCAGGAGGGCATGGCCTCCCCTGTCCTCACTCCCTTCTCAGATGTCATGGCGCTACAGGAGATCACCCCTCTCCTGAACCCCCAGAATACCTGGGGGGTGACTTTGTTCAATTGAGTGAACAGCAATAGGAGTTTGTACACTCCAAACTCCCATTTGAAGTTTGATGGACAAACTTGCTGTTCAGCGGACAGCACCACCACCATTACACATGATGGAACTCACTGGACACCTACTGTTTTTCCTTTCTTAACCAGGATGACCCTGATAAAGGAAAGGACCCAGGAGTTAGCACAACTGGCTGAACTTCCCACAATCACCTTAACGCTGAGTCCTCTGGCCAACAACTGGCTCCATCTGCACATTTTTACAGACTCTTGGGCCACTGCCTAAGAGTTGCGCCCTTTGGGGTAAAGAGCTCTGGAACTCTCTTGCTTCACAGGTACTCAAAATATAAGTCAAGGTCACACACGGCTCTACATATACTAAAGCCACAATAAAAGACCTCATCAAGACATTCCTTATCCCCGCCAGGGTTCCAAACATTACGGATGGTGACCAAGGCACTCATTTTATTTCTCAGTATACACACATCGTTGGGCTCTTGAACAAAGCGTTCAGTGGAACTTCAATCTTCCTTACTGACTTCAGGCTGCAGGCCCCATAGAGAGCCATGATGGCGTACTTAAACAAGTTCACATTCAACTAAATGAAAAATGGTACATTTCAGTCAGCAGTCAAACATCAGGGGTGAACTGTAATAAGGAGTCTCATTCAATTTTTTTATGTTTGCCTACAGACAGCTTCTAAGGCTCACCGCTCCTTCTTCCTCTTCTGTCCCTCAAACTGGCAAGCTGGTAAGAAAGTTTGGGTGGTCCCTCCTTTGGTGTGCGTGGGAGAGTCAAACCAAGCAAGCCCCTGTCCACACACAGAAACCCTCCCCCTGCCCCCACCCCTAACTACAATAAAAGCCCAGAGCCAGCCGCCTTTCCTTGCCCTTTCAAGTCATTTCAGATCTGCTTGAGAAGCCTGCCCTGCTCTTCCCACATTATGTAAGTATATAAGTAATAAACCTTTATATATAAGTAATAAAACGTTTCATACCTTCATGGTGTGTGGGGGGCATCATCAGTTTCTATATCCAAATCAAATTTTGGGAGGGGGTCTATTCTGGCTTTGTAGAGTGGCTACATCACAATCCCTTCTCTCTCACTCATTAGTTGTGCGCTCACTGGCAGTCACTCAATCTGTTTTCTCCACTCTACAGTAGGGGTAATAATTCTTTCTAGTCTAGACAATAAGCTTCTTGAGAGCAGGGATCATGTCTGTGTCACTCACCATCTTATCCCAAACACCCAGTGCCAGGGACATATGAATGAATGACTGACTGGGTTCCTGAATAGCTATCTTGCCTATTTCACAGTAATGGTTTGAGAATCAACTGAAATAGGACATTCATTCACTGGTTCATTCAACAATTATCTGAGTGCCTCTACAGTTTTGCAAACTGTAAAATGCTACTCAAATAAAAGGTATTACACTGATTGCAATTCTCTAAAAGTAAAATACATACTACATAGCCAATGTAAAATTAATGAGAATAGTAGGCTTTCGCCCCGAAGATTAATCAGTAAGTTCTTCCGTTTATCAAATAAGATAGTAAACGAGTAATAACACTAGTTGAAACCAAAAGCTTGGTGGACAGCACAGTGATTTACACTATCTAGAGTTCTGAGCCCTTTAATCAAGAGCTGATAGGTAAGGGCGGGGGTGAGACTGGGTCAACGTGAAATCGGGTCAGAATCCTGACAATGGAGCCTGAGTCAATGGGGCCTGAGCTGAGACATCTTGGAATAGGGCATTTCAGGACCAAATTCCAGCACTGGGCGCCCACACAGAAGCAGCCGTTCCCCGCATCGCCCAGCGAGGGGAAGCTCGCAGGAAGCACAGGAACCGTTTCCTCGCTGACAACTTTCCAAATTACTCCAAGGAGCACCAAGAAAAAGGAGGGGGGGAATTCATTATCATAAACTGAGAGGGTTCCAGCAACCATCGTCAAGAAAACTACCAGGTGAAGCCACCGCTTGGGAACCCGCCCCAGCGGGGGCCACTTACCTGGCGGAGAGTCGGAAGACCCTCCATCGCGGCTCCCTCCGCCGCCGCCGTACTGCGCACGCGCGCCCCGCCGCGGGGAGGGGGCGGCCAGGCGCGCGCCCTGCGCCCACCTCCGGCGCGCGCTCCGGGCTCCGGGTCCC